TTGGAAATAAACGCCAAATAGCCTGTATGGCTCTTTTCGTCTTGACCGTCTGCATAGACGAAAAGAGCCATACAGGCTATTTGGCGTTTATTTCCAAGCTGTTTCATCTCCCCCCCCCCTACCCCCAGTGAGTGCTTTGATTGTTTCAGGAAAAATAGTTAAAGGAAATGTCACCATACCGATCGAGTGTTTGTCAACAAGGCATATGTCTTGCTTTTTTAAAGACCAAACGTCTCATTTCTTCATGATCAGCGTCGTCCGAACTCTCTAAAGGGAGGGGCTACATCTGAAGGCTATCTCGCTTTTTAGTGGATTAAATGTGACAAGTACCAAATTTCACACATATGACAAGCATAGTAAGGAGTCTTAATGGTTAAAATCTGCAATCAAATTTGAGAAAAATATTTTCTTTCCATGACGTAATTAATACCGCACTTATTGTTCATGCAAATAAATTGTGTCTTTTTTGTGTGCATCTTAGCAAACAATAGATCTACAAAAACGTGAGATGGGTTTTTCTTAAACTTGCTAGAAAATATTTACGAACTTTCTCCAGAGATAGTATTCACGTTTCCAAAAATACCGTGAAAATCCACACTCCAAACACCACCAACAAAAAAATTATTCCATTTTATCAAAAATTAATCAGACAAAATTTTAGTATTACATCTTTTCTTCATTTTGTGAAAATTTCAGGAGGATGGGGGGTAAAATGGTCGAGTTATTTTTAAAGTATATATTTTAAAACACGTTTCGAGAAAACGGGCTATTATGAAAATTAAAAGATTGACTTTATGAGGAAATGGTAGTGACAAACATGGCCAGTATGGGAAGAAACAAGGCTCCTCTTAAAGTTATTTTGGTTTAACTTGTGTTGTTCCTCCCGAAACAATGATGAGATAGCGCCCAAAAGAGGTTCCAGATACATTGCGTATCATTCCGCTTGGGATGTTGATGGGAGCAGCTGGCAACTGGAGCTCCTCTTTCCTGCTTGCTGTGGAGCTGCTGGTCATAACCAAAACATTCACAGAAAGAAAGTCAAATTCCAAACACAGTTGTTTTCTCCCCC